GGTGGGGGGGGGCCGCAGTGACACCCCAGGAGCAGCAGAGCTGTTCCCCTCGGACAGGAAAACCCCGGAGGGAAAAGGGGAAGCGAGTCCCGGCTTGTGAAATACTCCCTCTGACAAACAGACCAAGTTATTTTCTTTTCGTTGAGAAATTCAGAAACAGACACCAGTGGGGTGGGTCCCCGCGCTAGGAGCTCCTGCAGGCGTGCCCGCTCGACTCCCCTGGTGTGCCTGGCCTGGCCCCCAACCTGGTGATCCCTCGAAATGTTTACTCCCAATGCCAGCATGGGACAGTCGGCTCAGCAGCGCTGGCCCAAGTTGCACACGCTGTCCGCACGCCCTCGCGGCCCTGAGTTCCTGTTTGGATGCGGGAGCTGCGAGAACCTCCCTTTGTCCCCAGCCCCGGCGTCCGGCCATGCCGCCCTCTGCCCTGTGGACTCGCGGGCAGCCTCTCCCTTTGTTGGTCTCTTGGCCGTTCTGCCTCATTGCCTGGCCCGTCTGCTCTGCTGGCCCAGAAAATGCACTGGACGCAGGAGACTCCAGAACCCCAGCCCCTTCCTCTGCCCGGCTCTTGGGGTGCAGCTCGGCTGGTGGCCAGGACGTGGCCCAGAGTCCAGAGCCTTCCCTCCTCCGCCTGCTCCCCGTGGGCCCCCCTTTCTACTAACAACGTGGTGTCCTCCCGCTGGCCGGCAGCGTCTCCTCACTTCCTGCCGGGCGTCTCTGCCCATCTCCTCTACGTCCCCAGCGCACGGCCCTCGTTTCTGGCCCAGGCCTCCTGGGCTGGGCCGTGGTTTCCCACCGTGGTCCCGGCCTCTAGTCTCTCACCATCCCAGCCTGTCCTGAGCGCTGTCCTCAGATCCTCTCTCTGGGACCTGGTCAGATCTCCCCTCCTTCTCGGGAAGCCCCAGCGAAGTTCGTGTTTCTCGTCAGCTCGCTGGTGCTTCCCGACCTGACCCAGCCGCCTTTCCGGCTCCTGGGCGCCGGGAGCTCGGGCCCTCAGCTCCGAGCCCCGCAGCCTCGGTCGGTCACCTGTGCAGCATGGGACGTGCAGATGTGGGGCCCCTTGCCCAGCAGTTGGGCTCCCTGGGTCCTAGGGACACACCCGCCTCACACAGGCCCCCTCTTGGCCTGATTCCCTTGACGTGTCTATTGCTGGGCGCCCCTGAGCCAGGCCCACCACCTGCTTTTGACCCAAGGGACTGCCGTCCCCACTGTCCCTCAGGAACCCGCCCGCCCAGCCTGACAGTGCGACACCCCAGCTGACGCCCCTCTCCCCACGCTCTTACAGGACATCCTCACCGACCTGTCGGCAGAGAGCGAGAACCTGGACCTGGGGTGTGAGGTGCAGGACTGCTTGGCACATAAGGTAGAAGCCCGGGGTCTGCTCTGGAAGGTTCTGTTCAGGTGGAGGGTCAGGACTTCCCAACTCTGAGTCTCCTGTTAACCGCCTAACAAACAGCTGCTCACGCCAGGGGCTGCGCACAGTGGGTGCTTTTGTGCTCACAGTGCAGGTTCTCTGGGCAGCCTGTCAGCGGCTGGCGGGGCAGTATTTGTAAGAGGCAGGCTCAGAGCCAGGGGTGACTTGCCAGGAGCCCCCCAGTTCCTGGGGTGAGTGTGGGAGTCCTCCCTTGTCATCAGAGGGGTGCTCTCTCAGGGTGGGCACCTCACCGCAGTGTCCGCGGCCCTGAAGCTTTTGATGCCCAGGCGTCACTTTTCATTTGAACTGTCTGGCGGCGGCGTTCAGTGCATTAGACATTCGGAGCGCTGTGGCCATCACCCCTCTATGGCCCGAAACTTCTTGTCATCCCATCAGCCCTGGTGCCATTGAGTCCCAACTCCCCTCCCCCAGTCCCTGGCCCCCACCGTCCACTGTCTATGAATTTGGTTGCTCTTGGGACCTCCTGTCAGAGGAATCGGTGTTCCTTTCATGACTGGTTTGGTTCCCTGTGCACCATGTTTTCAGGGTCCGTCCACACTGTAGCATGTGTCAGAATTCCTTTTCTTTTCAAGGCCGAATAATATCCCACTGCACATACAGATACCCTCTGGCTCATCCATTCACTCAGAGATGGGCATCTGACTACAGTGATGTTGCTGTGCCCGTGGGTGTACAGGGGTCTGCTCAAGTCCCGGCTTTTTCTTCTGGGTGTAAGTCAGAAGTGGGATTGCTGGGTATTTATTTAACTTTTTGAGGAACCTGAACTATTTTCCAAAAGATGCACGATTTTACGCCCCACCAGTGGGAGTTCCTGTTTCTCCACCTCTGCACTTCCTGTTCTGTTGAGGCCACCTCCTGTGGGTGTGGTGGCCTCTCGCGTGGTTCCATGTGCGTTTCCCTGGCGACAAGTGAGGCTGCGAAGCAGAGGGTTTAACACTTGAGGGGAGTTTGAAATGATACCAGGATGTCAGGGGTGCAGGGCAGTGGGCTTGTGCTGTTTCACACGCTTCAGTAGTCGTCATCTTAAAAACCAGATGCCTGACTTTTACAGATACGTGTTCCGGCAGGTGTGGCCGCCCACTGGACGGCGGTCAGTGAGGGGGCAGTGGCGGCTTTCATCCGTCACCGTTAGAGCTGGGCGGTGCTGCGAGTGTGAATTACTTCCCTTTAACCCTTGGCTATTTGTGCCCTGATTCATGAGAGTCTCGTTGAAGCACCGTGGGGCGTGTATGAAGGAAGTTTAAGCCAGAGTCGGGGCTTGGCTGCGGCTCGGTTCCTGCAGGACTCGCCTACAGTCAAGGCCGTGTGGCCACAGCTGCGGCGCGTGGGCCCGGCTGTTACCACCTGAGGTCTCCGGCTCCGGCTCCTCTGGCGGCAGCCCTTCCTCTCTGGCGGGAAGACAGCTGCTCCAGGCACAGGGCACGACCTGCCCTCCGCTCTTGGCTTGTCTGTGCCAGCGTTGGCTCTGGCACTGCCCACAGTAACTGGAGTGGAAAGCTCTGCACCTCAAACACCCTTGGCACCTTGTCTGTAAGGCATGTGCCAGGGAGACACCAGCAGCAGGTGTGGCCCAAGGGGTTTGGCTCTGACTGCCCAGAACCAGACACGTGACAGGTGCCCCGTAAGCGAGGAGGAAGCCGACTGCACTCGGACTTGTTGGGGGAAGGGGCCGGGTGGTTTGTCAGCAAGTGCTGCCAGCCTGCCCCGGGCTTCTCCTTACGAGGCGGCGGCTGGCCTGTCTGTGGAGCATTGTCTCCCCGTCGGAGCTGCTTGCCTGTCAAGACGCTGTGAGGTAGCTGTATCTATTAGGAAGTTTTACATCTTATTTTTTGAAATTAAATCAAAGCCTGACCTCCCTAAAATTCACTTCTGATGTTCAAGTTTTGCCTTTGCAAGAACAGTGGACACTTAATCAATGTCACTGATTCAGAACTTTAAGGCCATTTTGAAACCTGAGTCATTCATGATCTAAATCTGACCAACCACAGGGACTTGACCAGACTAGACTGGTACATCCACACGGCAAAACACTACGCAGCTACAGAAAATGCCATAGAAATACCCACTGATAAGGCAAGAGGTTCCTGATGTCACCCGCTTGTTCACGTGCCCACCTCCGCACCAGGTGCCAGGAATACAAGAGCAGTGGGCACAGCCACTGCCCGAGACGCTGCTCTCGCTGGGGGCAGGGTCACAAGCAAGTGCAGGGCACCCTGTCGCCCGTCGTGCCGGAGCCGGCCCTGCCCGGCCATCACTAACTGCCGCCTCTGTTTTCAGGGGATTTCTCAGGCTGCCAAGTACTTGTACCGACGCCTCGTCAGCGATGGGATTCTGAGCCAGGCCTTCAGCGTCGCTCCGGTGAGACTGTCCTTTTCCTTTTCTTTCATTTCCCGTCATTAGCTGTTTGGTCTGTGGCCTCACCTCATCCTTCTGTCCTTCAGGAATACCGGCTGGTCATTATAGGGCACAGCCTGGGGGCGGGCGCTGCAGCCTTGCTGGCCTTCATGCTCAGAGGCGCCTACCCCCACGTCCGTTGCTACGCCTTCTCACCGCCCAGGGGGCTGCTCAGGTACTGCTTCGTTTTCATGAGTGTGACAAGGCGCTACGCTTAAGTCATGAGTTAAGACTGGTCTTTTGTTGGTGATTTAATTTTTCATTCTCAGAAGTGTTTTCAAATACTGTTTAGTGAAGAAAGACTAAATAGCCTTTCTTTTAAAAAAAGTTTTATTGATTTGAGATGGAAACATCAATGATGAGAATCATTGATTGCTGCCTCCTACACAATCAAGGATGGAGCCCACAGCCTAGGCATGTGCCCTGACTGGGAATCGAACGTGACCTCCTGGTTCATAGGTTGATGCTCAACCACTGAGCCACTGCAGCAGGGCTGAAATAGCCTTTCATAGGTCTGTCCGACCATGGCTTTGATTTCCTAAACGATGTAATGCCAGATGGCATGCAATATTTTATTCATTTCAGGCACACAACACAATGATCCAGTATTTACATATATTGCAAAATAATCTCCACGGTGTCTAGTTAACATGTTACCATGCATTTTTTTCTTGTGATGACAACTTTGATTACTGTTAGCAACTTTCAAATATGCAATACAGTGTTAACTATAGTGGACTTGTTTTATAACTGGACTAGAGGCCCAGTGCACGAAATTCGTGCAGAGGTGGAGGGGTGAGACATCCCTCAACCCGAACTGTGCCCTCTCGCAGTCCGGGAGCCCTCACTCCTTATTGCTCGCCTGCTTGCTGCTCCTTAGCGCTGCTGCAGAGGTGGAAAAGGCTCCCACCACTGCTGCTGCACTCACCAGCTATGAGCCCGGCTTCTGGCTGAGCGCCCATGGGAGCGCACTGCCCTCCAGGGAGCAGCTCCTGCATGGGGCGTCTACCCCGATAGTCAGTGCGCATCATAGCGACTGGTCATTCTGCTGTAATGTTCGCTTAGGCTGTTATTATCTAGATGTTTCTACCCTTTGAGTCCCTTCATGCATTTTGCCCCTCTGCCACACACACCCTGGGCCACCGTCAGTCTGCTCTCTGTGAACTTGTTTTTTAGATAACACATATAAGTGAGATCATGTGGCGGTTGTCGTTCTGTCTGAATTATTCCACCTAATACAATGCCCCCAGGCCTATCCATATTTTGTCAAATGGCAAAATTCCACTATTTTTGTGCCCGAGTAACATTTGTCAGTGGACACTTCAGTTGTCTCCGTGTCGTGGCTACTGTAACTAGTGCTGCACTGAACGTGTGGGTGCGCATCATCTTTTCGAGGTAGGGTAGAGAAGGGAAACGTTACTTTTTCTTTTTTTTGAAATTTCAGCAAATCCCTTTATGAACACTCTAAGGACTTCACTGTGTCACTTGTCGTGGGCAAGGACGTGGTTCCCAGGTCAGTCTGCTGGTGCTCTGTCTGGGGTTGGGGTAGCTGAACAGACTGAGTACTGAGCGTCCATCTGATCTTTTGATAAACAGGCTAAGTGTGACCAACATGGAGGATTTGAAGAAGAAAATCTTGCGGCTGATTGCCCATTGTAACAAGCCCAAGGTAATGTGTGCCTGTGACCTGGGGAGGATGTTTCTAAATTCGAAGCCTCAGCCAGTGCAGGTGACGCTACCCTGGGCAGACTTCTCAGACTTCGTTGTGATTTGCTGTTGTACTTCTGAGCCCTTCTTGTGACCCACGATATCCTGATGCCTTTGGTCCCAAAGCTCAGAAAACAAGACTACCAGCTAGAATTTATGACACAACGGTAGGACTGTCCTGTGGAGTATCAGGCAGCCTTTACGAAGGGTGACATGAGCACTAGCTGATGAGCTCAGTGGTTAGAGCACCGGCCTGTACACCAAAGGGCTGTGGGTTCAATTTCCAGTCAAGGGCACATACATACCTGGGTTGTGGGTTCGCTCCCCACCCCAGGTTGGGGCACATGTGGGAGGCAACCAGTCTGTGCCTCTCTCCCTCCCACTCGCTCTGAAAAGCAATGGGAAAAGTATCCTCTAGTGAGGATTAAAAAAAAAAAGAATGGTGATGTGAGCTTATATTTACCAATAGTGAAAGCTATCCATGATGTATTGAAACGTTAAAAAACAAACAGGATATAAATAAGATATATGAGCTTCGATGAAAAATTTTTTAATCTCCCTTTAACCTTTGTTTTCTGACATTTTTTTGTTGCTAATCAGAAAAAATACTAAGAATTTAAATAAACTTTCTCATCAGCTATTCCCCACCCCCAATTTAAAACTATTCGTATCTAACATTTTTGAGGGAAGAGTAAAACTGGTTTGCAGAGTTACCTGAAAAGAAGGACAATTTTGCCTCAAAATCTGCATGATTTGTTTTTTAAATATTGCTTCTATATGATGGCTTCTTTGCCTAAGAGACACCTGAGTTTGGGCCCACTGGCCTCCACTCCTAAGATCCAACTAATAAGCAGCGAGGCATCTGTCCGCGCTCCAAGAGCTGCTGCCACCCCCCAGCTCCGGCCGCGAAGCCGGGAGTAAGTGCTGCTGCTTCTCGGTCCCGCCCTCTAGTACAAGATTCTGCTGCGCGGCTGCTGGTACGGGCTGTTCGGAGGGAACCCCGATGACCTTCCAACAGAGCTGGACGGGGGCGACCACAGCGACCTGACCCTGCCACTTCTCGGGGAGCAGAGCCTGCTGACACGCAAGTCCCCAGGATACAGACCCAATGACTCGCCCTTGGGGTCCCCCACCAAGTACCCCCCTCTCTACCCTCCTGGCAGGATCATCCACCTGGAAGAAGAGGGTCCTTCAGGGAGGTGAGCTGGGGGCGGGGCCCTGACCTGGCTCAGTCCACACACCATCTGTAATGAGACACGTCTGTGGAGTTCAACTTGAAGTGATGCTTTGCCAATTGATTCCTGTCTTTTTCAGATGTTCCTGCTACACTGCTCAGTACACTGCAAAGTGGGCACACGAATCCGAATTCAGCGAAATACTCATCGGCGGAAAGATGCTCACAGACCACATGCCGGACGTCCTGATCAGAGCCTTGGACAGGGTGTCCAACCAGGATGCCTGCATTTCCTGTCCCGCCACAGGAGGCTCTGCATGATGTGGACGTGGTGTGACCACAGCTACTGGAGCTGTCCAGGACTGCAGACGCGGACCGTTCCTTAGACTTCACATTCAAGTGAATCCCATGGCGCCAATGCAATGGTAGGAGTCTGACAGGCACTGGACGAGTCTAATGACCGGACGGTCCGAGATACCACTTTATCCCATGATCAGCACAGCAGGCTGAACGTGCACAAAGCTTCGCAGGAGCCTGTCCCCGGGACCTGCGGATTCCACCTGAGAATGGCCCAGGACAGCGTGGGACTTGGGCAGCCAGGTCTGGTCTGTACCCCCCCACCCCGCCACTTCCCACTGGCAGGGTCTTGTCCCTGTTCAGAGGAGCCTGAGCTGGGCACACAGGTGTGCAGCTTATTTAGCAAACAGATTCCTGGCTACACACTCAGTTCTCAGCTGGGAGGGTAGAGACTGGGGTTTACTCCTGGTGGCACTAAGGACTAAGGATTAGCCCTGAGCTCCTGTTGGGAATCAAGACAAAACCAGGTCAGGAAAGTGAGGGGAGACAGCTCCTGCCCCACGGCCACAGCCCTTCCTTGTTTACTCGCTCACTTGTTTCATCAACCCAGTTGATGTGAACATCCTGCTGGCTCTCGGAGTCGGCCAGGGCATTAATAAAGCGCTTACACCGTCACTGGTGTGTGTACAATGATGTGCTCGCCTACTGGACGCTTCCACGGCTCTGTTTTCCTGGGTGGCTTTAAGCAATCACCCTTCAAGTTTTTTTCCTGTCCACTGTAACAAAACGGAGTCGTCTTGGCCCTGTGGCTAGACTGAAGATTGCATGGACATCTGATTTCACTCCAACCCACAAAGCCCATAAAATGATGGTAAAGGGATTTCTTTAAAAAGCATAAGCCTGGCCCTAGCTCGTTTTGCTCAGTGGGTAGAGCATCGGCCTGCAGGCCAAAGGGTCCTGGGTTCAATTCCGGTCAAGGTCATGTACCTTGGTATTAGACACCTCCCTGGTCTGGGCTTGTGCAGGAGGCAACCAATCGATGTGTTTCTCTTTGTCTTTTCCTCTCTCTTCCCCTCTCCCTAAAAAGCAATGGAAAAGTACCCTCAGGTGAGGATTAACAACAAAAAAACATAAGCCTGCCCTGACCGGTATGGCTCAGTTGCTTGAGCATTGTCCCATGCACCAAGAGGTCACCGGTTCAAGTCCCAGTCAAGGCACATGCAGGAGGCTCAGCTATATTTACACAGTAATAATACAGACACTAAACAATGAGCACCAACCACAATAACCATACTGAGGGAATGGGAAAGGTGCTGGGCCAGAGGTATCGCTGGAAACAAAGCCCTCAGATCTCCCACGGTGGGAACGTCGCTGGTAATGGCTGAAACGGAAGAATCCAACCACCAACAAAAGCACAGGATTTAGACTGACCCCCGGAGAGGGTTTCATCAGTCCTGCGGTGCGATGAGGCCTCCATAAAAACCCAGAGGATGGTCCTGAGAGCTTCCGGGCTGGTGAACATGTAGTTATTTGGGGAGAGTGGCCCTGGAAGGAGACATGGGAACCCCGAACTCTTTCACCATACCTCGTCCCATGCATCTCCGTCTGGCTGAGGTATAGCCTTCTATAATAAGCTGGTAATCTAGTGAACAAAAAAAGAAAGCATTTAGAAGGATTTAGATTGTGAGGGCAAATATAAAAAATCTGTTAAAAGTACTCAAAGTAGTTGCCTCTGGGGAGGGTATAGAAGGGGAGGATTGCTATTTCTGTAGCAAGCTTCTAGAACTATTTGGCCTTTAAACAGCATATTTATCTTTGGTTAAAAAGAAACTCAAAAATAAAAGTCTTCCAAAGCAATAAACAAGAATATCCAGGAACCAGATTCCAGCGTTAACTACTGATGGCACAGCTCCAGGTTCCAGCCAGGGTCTTGAAGGCAGTGTTTCTGCCCCACCACCATGCCAACTGTGATCCCAGCATCTCATTTCAGCCCAGAGCCCTGGCTTGAGATGCACATGCAATGCGCACACGCGAGCCCCAAGGTGGGCATCATGGGAATATCTCACCAACGATCAATAGGTCCGAAACAACCACCCCCATCTGCTGACTCACCCATGTCTTGTCTCCGCTGGAGGGGCCCTCCCTGTGCCCGCATGAAAAGGGGATTGAAAATGAAGGTCTTCCACAGCCTAGGAATTTAAAGGCAAGTGAAAACGGACACGCCAGGGGGTCGTTCCCCGAGCTCTCAAGAACTCAAGAATGACCACTCA